TGGTGACAATGAAGAACGAAATGATCTGTGTATAAATTGTGAATTGGAACAAGTGTACAGGGAAGAGCGTGCTGTTAAAAATATACCAAGTAGAATGTACGTAAAGAGGCACCACAAAAATAATGCAATTGTATTTAAAAAAATATATATAAATAAAGTAGCTGTAAATATAACATAAGGTTAATTTTTTGTTAATTTTTTTTAGTTGTGTTGTTGAATTCCATAATAAGCAAAGATACAATGCCAGGACAAGACTCTTCGCGAGAGAATTCAGTAGGTATCGGCAAAGAGATGAGGGCTTACAAGCATAACAACTAGGGAGGCTTATCCATATAGAACCCCATAGAGATGCTGATTACCCATTGGGAAGGAAACAGCTACCATTTCCAATCGAAAGAGGTAACAACTTTAGAAGACAGTAATTTTAAATTTTTTTATGTAATTAATAATTAATATATGATCTATTTTCTTTTGATGTTTTTTTTGTAATGAGATAAAAGATTTGTTGTTGTGTGTATTGTGGGCAATTGGTTAGAAACAGTCAAGATAGTTGGTAATATGAAAAAGACAAGCAAAATCACTAACAGAAAGGTTACTTCATCCTTCTCCTCTTCTAAAAGAGAAGGTTTCAAAAAAAGTTCAAAGCAAAAGTCTTTTAGTTTACTGGGAGTAATTAGAGACATTTAGAAATCAAACCGAAAAATTTAAAGGAAGCTATTCAGCAAGCATTACGAATTGTTAAGTCTTACAAGAAAATTAAAAAACCACGTGGTCGAGTAATCCAAGTTCCAAAAGGGGGGGTATACTACCGCTAGTACCCATATTTGCAGGCTTCAGAGCCCTGGAAGAAACGCTGGGGTACATCTGCTATCGTAAAGACGATTAACGACACAAATGCAGCTGAAGAAGATTTACTGGAAAAACAACGTCATAATTGTAAAATGGAAGCATTGGCAATTGGACATGGTTTGTACTTGAAACCATACAAAAGAGGAATGGGTATTTTTTTATGAATGAGAAAATGGATCAAATAAAGATTCCAAAACATGCTTTGACAAATATAGATTTACAAAATTGTGCAAAAATTATTGAAAATCACCCATTTTAGAGCTGTATTTATGAGAAATAATTTTCCGAAAAAAATTTGGCAGCATGAGAGTGGAATTATTAATTCAGACAATAAAGAAGGACCCGGAACTCATTGGACAGCCTATAAGAAGAATACATCCAAAGTCGTATATTTTGATAGTTTTGACAATCTGAGACCACCGTTGAAAGTTATATCATACTTTAATTCAAATGGTTATTGTCAAATTGTATATAATCATAAAATTTATTAAACTTATAACACTGTAAATTGTAGACAATGGTTTTTAGATTTTTTAAATAAATACCCGTTTTAAAATAATATTCTTTTATTTACTCTTTGAACATGTCGTACACTTTTGTGTTATCTGAAAGAGAATCAGTGTTATCAACCAAAATTTATCTACCAATTATTTAAAATGAAAATGAACAGTATGTACTAGGTTTAATAGATGTTATTTCATACAATACAATTCCAAATGTAGACTAAACAAACAATAAGTTTTATATAAATGGTTACGATATAACGATTCCACATGGTTCGTATGAAGTTGATGATCTTTCAAATTATTTAACTAAAAAAATACATGAATTAAAATTAAAATTAGATAAAAAACCAGATAAAGATGATACAGAAATTAATAAAGGAAAGAGTCAAGAAAAAAATAATACAATTGGTAAAGGTGTGCCTAGAAGAAATCGTAATATAGAGCAACCTACAAGTTTGATAATGAGAATTAATATCAATACACTCAAATGTGAAATAAAAGCAACAAAGTAATCCATTTTGAAAAACCAAATACCATTGCTCCCTTATTGGGATTAACATCAAAGCAGCTCTCACCTTTAAAGACTCACGTAGCTGAGAATCCTGTGCATATCACTAAGGTTAATTATATTTGTGTAGAATGTAATCTAATCACTAATTCATACGTAAATAAAAACCAAGGTCTTAACGGGTTACAAAATTGTTGAAATTAAATATATATATATATATTATATATATATATATATATATATATTACCTGTAACAACTAGATATATTGATGAAATTTGTATTAAAATAGTTGGCTAGGACGGTAATCTTCTTAATTTCACACGAGAAGTTATTACGTTAAGACTATATTTAAAAAAAGTATAAACAATGGTTTTTATTTACAACTGTAGCAAATTTATTCCAGGTGTGGACAGTGTATATAATATTAAAAGTTTTGATAAAAACATTAGTGAGAAACAGACGCTCCAGCTGTTGACAACAGAAAACAAAGTCTTTTTAACCTCACTAAATTTAGTGAGGGATTTAAAATAAAACACAACAACAACAACGACAGTGACAGGGAAAAAGAAAAGAAATACTTGGTGTAGAATAAAGTTTTTTATTAATACTAGAATACTTGGGATTTTCTTGAGATGTACTTGTAGGAATAGTGAGTATTTAAATATTGCAGATCGTGTGCTGGTTGATAATTTTAATGTTTGTATTCCACTCAAACTTGTACTTGGGTTTTTTGAAGATTTTACAAAAATTCTTAGTAACATAAAAATTTAGCAAAATTATTATATACAGATACAGATACAAAAGTGTTAGATCTGGTGAAAGATGAGAATCAAGTAGAATTGATGACACACTTTATAGGATTACGTTCGAAAATGAACACTGAAGATTTTAAATAAGAATGAGGAAATTAAACATGCAAAAGGAGTAAAAAAATCTGCATTAACGGAACTGTAATATAATGATTATTATGCAAGTTCATTTAATAAAGTAATAGTAGAAATTTCCCAAAATTAAATAATTTCAAAAAAAGCATGATGTTTTTTACAATGTGTCAAACAAAAGTAGCACTCAGTCCATACGATGATAAGAGAATAATAACTTATTTATCCACTGATACTATTCCATGGGGTTTCAATGATAAAATAATTTATTATTATTTTATAAAGTTTTATAAATCGTTTTTTAAATGAATCTACAGTCACCCAAAGTTTTCAAAGACCAAAAACGATTTGTAGACTCAGAATTTAAGACTAAAAAACATAAAACTGCAAACTCTACCTACCATATTCTGGGACAACAAAATGTATGGAACAATACCATGTTTTGATTGCAAGAATTTTTTTTGTTTTTGTGAAAGATCCTTTCGCGAAAGTTTTACCATGTTAATCGCCAACGTCAAGGGGACTTGATAGGGTACGTTAAGAAGAAGAAGAAATATCGTTAGAAGTCCACAAGGACACTGAACGTACATTGTATTGTATGAAACTATGCCTGATTCGTAAAAGGTATACTGGTAAGAAATATTCATTTATTATTGATTAATTTTTTTTTATTTTAGCCCTCAATCCACCTATCGTCAGTGCCTGAAGATTAGTGTTGGGATAAGGAATGGCACGAATCACCCCTACCACACATCAAACGTAGGTACAAGTATCTTCACTTGGTGAGAGAGCCCCAAAAGGTTATAGGGGGTGATGGTACACACCAACCAGAGAATGAAACTTGGTATAACGAATGGTGTGAATAATCCCTACAGCACATTAAATCTTCAGCAATATTGAAGAATATTATTCGGGAACAACCTCCGGAACTTTCAAAAACACAAAAAAAATTCGACAGACGGAGAGGGAACGCTACGAAAAGCTTAATGTTTTTTAATTTTATAGCAATAAACTTTTAGATTCTGTACGTTGTTTTTTCTTTAATATGTCTGATTCATAAAAACACTGGTAAGAAATATTTAATTATCATTATTTCAATATTTTTTTGTTTTGATTTCAACCTTTAATCCACCTAGTAATACCTTCCGGTAGGGGAGTACTTAAAATTAGAGACAAAATTTTACAGGGGGAAGATTTTAAATAAGAAGCAATTACAATACCCAAATACCAGATGGCCATCCACTGCACAGAGATGCATTAATTTGGGCAAGCTACATTGATCAGGTCATGTCCTATTGGCAAGAAGTGAAAACAAACTTATGGAATGACAAAGCCATTTACCAATATTATGAATTTCAAGAGTAAAAGAATAAAAACGAAATTAACTAGGCTAGGCTACACAGATACATCTAAGCAAGTTCGTACACAAACAATTTATTTTTTGACTCACCAATATTCGAACAAAGTCTCAATACAAATTCGATCACCCTGTACAAATTTAACGAAAAGAAGACGAAATGATGCGATAAGCGATGAGGTTTGCACTCCACATACAATGTGGTCCACTCAAAGACACCCACCTTTGGTCATTGTCGACCGGTTCTTTTACTTCTTTAGGACAGGTAAGACAAAGAAGAGACAAGTGAAACATATGTAAAACATACAAGTAAGATGACAATTTTTTGGTTGAGAAGAAGAGATCTAGAAATAAGCGACCACTTCTTACAACCGTCTGGTTCTTGTCGATCACTTCTTGTACCTCTTGTACACCCTCAAGGTCAAACTAGGCCATCCGTACGTTTACTTGATGGACTGAGACCCTGATGGACAGGTTACCAAAGTGAGTTTAAACCCCGCTTGCTATACTACTATCTTTGGCATACCTTATGTTAATTAAACTTCCGTTCACTTGTATGCCGATTGTCTCATTTACCAAAGCTTCTTGTCTGATTTCTTCAGAATAAGCATTATAACTGCGACAGTATGCAGCCTTGCCTGAGACAACAACTTAAGAACAACAATTAAAAAGTTAACTCCGAGAATCTTTTGGAAAAGATTTCCGGAGTGGAAACCGAACCGAAACTGGCCAACAGTAGTTAAAAGTGTGGCTTAATCCCATATAAACATAGTATTTAACTTAACATGCCTAGGAAACACTTTCAAAACCTTCATAAATACATCTTGATGTTATCTACTTAAAAATGTCATATAAAATTTTATGAGGATCCTGGCATTTATAATGAAATTTATTTCAGGAGAGAAAACCAAATATCTGCAAGTAGGTCCGAAGAAATGGATATACCCCAGCGGTTACGAGAGACAAGCACATGATTTCTATAATTTCGTTGCAAGGCCAAGCGATGTTTTTATCGTAACGTTTCCTAGGTCAGGTAAGTGAAAGTAAAGTTATGTATACAGACACAACAATACGGTGCTGCAATCACCAATGTCGTACAGGTAAATGATCAGGTTCAAAGCATTCATTTTCATTCGTTAACACGAGGGAAGGTGAAAGGTTCTCGATCTATAGTGTATTTTTATGTATGAGAGAGTAATAAAACAATAAATTATGTATGCAAATCCCTAAACTGTTGATACGGGTGACTCAATGAAAAACAGATATTTGTCAACAAGTTTACAGAAGTATATAGGAAAACAATTTTAAATTGAGTATGACCACCAGGTATAAAGGTTGGAGCAGAATAGAATACAATAGTTGTGAGGGTTACTAATCCCTAAATAAGGTTGCCAGTGTCGGAGTGATGGAGGTTAACAGGTACTAATGAATTTGCAAGAAATGTAAGATGTTTATTTTATTGGTTATATATAACCAATAAAACTTTAATAAGTACCTACCTATTTGCAAAATAAAGTTTAATTCTTTAGATAAAATAAAACGTTTTATTTTATCTGAAATGAGTGCATTCCACGAAGTAAGGGTTTCAACAATCAAACATTTAATTCTTTAATTCCAGGAATCTACGACAGTAATTGACTAGATAATTACCTTCTAAACTTATTCCACAGAAAATGTGATAGTGGGTTTTACCATTTTGTAGGAAGGTCCAAGTGGCGTATTCAAAATTCTTAACAGTTCACTAAAAGTAGGTACTTCAGTTGCAAGGTGCAGTTTATTGTGTATACTAGTGTTATGGAAAATTTGGAAGTGCCGTGTAAACGCCGAAAAATTGGTCCTTTAACAGTTAATGAAAAAACATTAATATTTAATTGTTTTAAATTATTTACAGACAAACGTTTATGTGAAAGTGTTGATGAGACCGTTGAGTTAGTTAGCAGTACACTTGGTGTTGGGAAATCTACGATTTACAGAGTTATTAAAGAAGAGAAATGTGGTGGTTTTCAAATGCCACGTAATGCTCCAGGGAAACCAAAATTTCAAATAGAATATCATTTTAAAGAAGGACTTCGACGGAAAGTGCATGAATTCTTCTTTAGACAAGAATTTCCAACATTGGATAAAGTTCTTGTCTCAGTTCGAGATGATGAGGATTACCCAGAAATGAGTCGAAGTACGTTATGGAAACTTTTAAAAGAAATAGGCTTCCGCTGGAAAAAGAATCCCAGAAAGTCTATTTTATTAGAAAGAAGCGATATTGTCATATGGAGAAGACATTTTCTAAGAACCATAAAGGAAATGAGAAACCAAAAAAGAAAAATATTTTATCTTGATGAAACATGGATCAACGAGGGTCATACACCAAACAAATTTTGGCAGGATGAAACTGTTATAAGTCAAAGGCACGCTTTTGTAAATAACTTATCTACTGGTTTAAACCCACCATCAGGAAAGGGACGCAGGCTGATAATAGTACACATTGGCAGTTCAGACGGTTTTGTTGAAGGTGGTTTATTAACTTTTGAATCAACTCGTACCGGTCACTACCATGAAGACATGAACGCTGATGTCTTTCAAGAATGGTTCGAACAAATGATAGATCTTCTTCCTAAGAACTGTGTATTAGTAATGGATAATGCAAGTTATCACTCCAGACTTATAGAAGGACTGCTCACAACCAAGTGGTTAAAAAAAGACTTGCAGAATTGGCTGAGTTCAAAAAATATTACGTACCATCCCGGATCTATAAGAAAGGAACTTTATTCGTTGTGTGCCCTTCATAAAGAAAAATTTAAAAAATACGAAATTGATGAAATTGGCAAAAATCGTGGAATGACAGTACTTAGATCCCCACCATATTATAGTGAATTAAACCCGATTGAACTGATATGGGCACAGATAAAGAGTGAAGTTTCAAAAAAATACCACTTTTAAAATTCATGATGTTAAACAGTTGTTTTTGGAGGCCGTAAATAATGTAAAACCTGAAAACTGGGAAAAGGCAGTAAATCACACTATTAAAGAAGAGGAAAAAATGTGGAAGCTGGACAATATTACTGATAAAATGATCGAGCCAGTTATTATAAATCTTGGTTCTGAAAGTTCATCTTCTGAATCTGATTTGGATTTGTAACAAGTAGCTGTAAGTTTTATATTAATATGTTTATTCATCTATTTAACATACCTTAGACGGTTTTAAAAACTCTTTTTCTCTTTTGTAATTTTTAAAAATTAAAAAAAATGTGAATTTTTTAAAACCCTTTTTAATGTAGGCCAGTCAGTTCTAATATAGTGTTTGATAAAAGAGGTCACTTTTGTTTACATATACATAACACTCTATAACACTGAAATAAATTATTTATTTTTTATAATTATTCAAAGTAATTTTTCAATTAATCTTGAGCACGCCCATGGAGTGGTCGAAGGTACCAGTTAAAATTATGCTAATTACTCTCTCGTTCATAAAAATAAACTATAGTAATCAGAAGGGAGTTTTTAACTTTTAACAATTAATTACTTGATTATTAACGTTAAAATATACCATACAATTAATTTCTTGTCAAATTAAGTGAAACGCTTTATTATTTTAATAAAATGGAGCCTGGTATCTCTACAAATTCAAAAATTCGTGAGCTTGAAATTAAAAATGGTTGCTACAATAAAACAATCCTTGGGTTGTCGGATGAAATTAATATTCCTAAAACTACAGTGTAGAAGATAGTCTAGTATTATGAGGAAACATTAAGTATCTTAGAAGAAAAGGTAGAAGCCCGGGTCGTCCAAAACTAGTTTCTGATTCGCAAGAAAGATCGAAGAAATGCTCTAAGACAAGTTACTGCTGAATGAAGTCATGAAATTAAATTAAATTAGTTGTAGCAAGGCTGCCGCAAGTGTAAACACACTTCTGAGTTAGTTCTATAAGGTTGAATTACAAGTAACAAAAGTGTACTCGCAGTTTAATATATTTTAACATATTTTCTTTTGGTCGAGGTGAAAGCCACTGTTTATACCAAAACAAAAGCAAGCCAGGCTTCTTTGGGCAAAATCTAAACTTTGTTGGTGGACAGAAGATTGCTCCCAAGTAATTTTTATTAAAAAATCAATATTCGAGGTATGTGTTAACGATTAACACAAACGATAATTAGGCTTTTCACAAAGACTGTTTGAAACAAACCGTAAAATTTCCGAAGTAAATGAAGAATTGGATTGAATCAAGTAATCAGGACTAGAGGCATACCATCCTTTAGATAGACCAGCAACATAGAGAGAATAGCTGTAAACTAGATAAAAAGGACAAGATAGAGAGGAGTGGCAAAACCTTAGGGACTTAAGTATTGACAAATTAGGACGTATGTTCAACAGAGGACAATTAAGGCCTTTTTTTTTAGATATATAGATAGAGCATAACTTTATAATTTAAGAATATTAATTACGTATTTACTTAATTATTTTTAGGTACAACCTGGACTCAAGAAATGGTATGGCTATTAACTAACAATTTAGATTATAAGAAAGCAAGTCAAGTGAATCTAAGAGAGAGGTTTCCATTTTTAGAGTAAGTATTTTTGGTTTTGTTACTTCAAAAGTTCTAGTTTCTTAAATTTTGAGTAAAAATCCGTTTTCGAAATTTATTTTGTCCATTTTATGGTCTCAAATTTATTAGGTTGTATCGAATGTCTCTAATTCTCCAGTCAATCGGGCTATTCCAATTTTGCCGAACTGAACCGATTTACTTGAAATTTGGTGAGTTAATGGAAACGTGCTCAAAAAACCAAAGTTATTATAATGCCGATTGTGTTCGGCCCCAGCGGTGGTTCCCACTACTTCTCCGGGGTAGAAATTCTTTTGCTCAAAATAATCACAAGAATCGATAGAGGACTGACTATATTCTAAGCAAATTTTGCTTTATAAAGTTTTTTTCCAAGTCAATACGGTTTAAGCTATTTATGAAAACAGAGAATTTGAATTGAAACAATCACGTTTTTAATAGATTTTCATGAATATATTATATACTCCTACACGTGTGTGTGTTTTTTAGATTTAGTTGCATTGTACACCCCGAAATGAAAGCTACGTTTTTAAAAGAAAATCAGCATTTCCCGGAAAAGCTTCAAATAATTCAAGGCCTGGACCGTGGGATAGTAGAAGATTTAAACAATATGAAGGGAAGAAGATTTATTAAAACTCACAATCCTTTTAGTCTGATGCCGCCCAATCTATTGGACGTAGGTTGTAAGGTAATATAATTTTTCTACATTTTAGAACACAAAAAATGAAATATTTCTATTTATTCATATAATTTAGTTATCAAATGTGTCCTTAGTCCAACTGTTATGTAAAAAGTTAGGAAATGGTGAATTAATACTTCATTACGCAAAACTTTTTGGCAATTACTTTATTACGTACTGTAATAGTTTAGGGTCGCCACTGTAAATAGTTCTTCAGATCTTTCCTATCTCCTTTTTTGAGGAGAAGTATTGTCAAACTTTCATTCCAATTATATGAAAATTTCTGTCCCTGTAAAGACATTCGTTAAAAAAAAAATTTCAATTCTTTGAGCATACTTTCACTCCCTTTCTTCAACATTTCTACAAGTATTCCATATGGGCCCTGAGCATTATTATTCTTAGCCTTAGTATTTCTCATTTCTTAGCCTGAGTATAAATGTGGGTATCTTTTCAATCAACCCTTTTGTTACATCACTTATTCTGTCTTTTTTATTTTTCGTTTTCTTTGCAACAGTCAGTGTCCTTCTTTCAAGAGCTTTCGTTGCATTTCTTTATTAATTGTGTTCATGTCGGAATATTTTTGTTGATAATATTCTACAAATTCTTTTCTTAAGACTTCTTTGTACTTATCTCCGCATTTTAGTTTGAAAGATCTGATTACAATAATTATGTCGCCTCTTTCTACTGGTTTTCGTCTGTTGAACAAGAATCCTTGCTCTTAAAAGGCGATAATCGCTGCTAGTTGCGATTCGATTAAGAGCAGTTATGTCTTCAAAAATGTCTTTGTTTCCACACAAGAAGTAAGTAATCGATCTCGTTTTTGTCTTTTTATCCGAATATCCACGTTTATTTTCGGTTTGCTGGTTTCTTGAAGTGTGGGTTCATGGCATAAAAATTTTGTTGTTCTAAGAAGTTATATGATTTTCTAAAAATGATATTTTATTCCAAATAAAGTCTTTTGATTTTATGCTTTAGATATCATGCATTCTATTCTGCCACTTACGAAAGTGGTAAGCAATACTGCTTCAGTCACAGTAAATTAATCTTTATTGGGCTGTGAATAAAATTCGAAGTTAAACTCTCTAAGATCTCTTAAAGTCTTTCGAAGAGGTACGAATAGAAGGAAATGTTGATAATATATACTCTAGATCAAAAAAAACACTTTGTGCGATTGTGCTGTTATTCCAAAACGAAGAAAATATAAAGTTCGTCGAAGGTACAGATTAAATATTTAAACAATCCAGTTAGCCAAGAAAGAAATAAAAAATATTTACGCTGTGGGTAAATTTATTAATGTTTTAGATAAATTTTGGATATTTTAATTTGTTCTTTAATTTCTTTTCATACAAATAATTCATGTCCGTTTTTCTCTTCATATAGCGGACATCTCTCTTCTACTAGGGACTGTATTGGCAATTTACGAGCTATACCCTGTAACGCAGCCATGGACCGTATTTTGGAGGCACTGATATCTGTAATCAATGGTTTTCTTTTTCGTATTGACCAACTTGTCTTTATATTTTGTCTAAATACATTCTTTTTCTTTCATACCCTACATAAATACTAAAATCTAAAGTATCTCAACCACTCTTATTTACTAAACTTGCCCAGCATTTATATCTAAATATTATTTTAGATCATATACGTTGCAAGAAATCCTAAAGATGTGGCAGTGTCTTTTTACCACTTGTGTAAAACCCACAGGGTTCAAGGTTATGTTGGAGACTTTCCACAATTTTGGAGGAACTTTCAAGACGGACTTGGTAAATATGCACATAATTATGAAATTTTTTTCTTAACAATAAATAATGAATTTTTTTTGTATATTTAATTTTGCATACTTAATATTATTGAATATAAGTTTGGGTCAGAAAAGGATGTGACAAAAAGAAGAGAATACTGAGGAAGTCTTGTAGAGGAGGCCACAACATTGAGAATATATATCTTTATTTTGTTACTATATCTTGCTTTTTCTGCAGTATACATATTAATCGAGAATTTCTACTTTAATTGTTAACATCAGTATCATCATCATCTTTGGCTCTACAACCCTGGGTGGGTCTTGGCCTGCATTCCCCCTATCTTCAGCCCTGGCTTTTCATTTTCTGACCCCTACATTCCTTAAGTTATCTTCGACTTGAGTTTCAAATCTAGATCTTGGTCTGCCTCTCTTCCTGGTTCCTATTGGCTCTTGATATAATAATATATATTGCATTCAAAAACAGAAAATTTTTTAATATACATACAAAATAATACAAAAATCAAAATAATATCCGCTAAGAGCTGCTGCAGATGGAAAATAAGTCCGTATCCTTGATATTCTTCAGCTTGTTTCATTTAAGCCGATAAAGCAGCCACTGATTCACCGATTGTCTTAACTTCTTCTATCAATCCGAAATGAACATTATCTCTGCAATTTTCAACTCTTGGTCAAAGGAGATGATTATCCAGACGAGTTTGAGCTTTCTTCATTGGAGTGTCTAGTCTTCTAATGGCTTCTCTTAGTAAATCCTTAAGTCTCTCTATATCAGCTAGTCTTTGTACCTCTAAGTTCGTCTTCCAAATGTTTCGGTCCTTTTTGTCTACAGGCAATTCTTTTCTCTAAAGCAGCTTCTACTTAATCAGCCTATGCTCTTAAATCCCTTGCGGCATTGTTTAGAATGCTATCTAGTGTTCCCCGTAGAATTACCGATCTGTCAACAAAAATTATGTTGTAAATATCTTTTTCAAGTAAAACAAGAACTGATGGCATGTACAAACGATGTACGAAATTCTTTTGAATAAAAAACGTAAAAGAGACTAGACTCTTAGAGAGGTTGGTGTTTCATTGTTCCATTGGTAACCATATTTTCTAATTTATGTTATTAATTATTTTAGTTACTCCCAGAAAACTAAATATATGCCGGCGCCGGTTGTATCAAGAATGTAACAAAATAACTTGGTCAACAGGTGCAACACGAAACTATAGAAACAGTAAAAGAGCCATATGTGTGGCTGACCACTGTTATTTTGGTTTAGGCCCCTTAATTAAGAGCGAGAAATATGTCAAGAGCAACAAAGTGCAAACTTTATAAAACAATTATATGCCCAGTGCTCACTTATGGTTCGGAAACATCGGCAATTACGACCCGAGATCAAGAGTTACTACAAATCTATAAAAGAAAAGTATTAAGGACCATATATGGCAATATATGGTCCTTAAGGTTAATAAACAGGGTCTGTGGAGAAGGTGATATAATTTTGAAATTTTAGACTTTTTGGTGATGAAGATATCGTGAAAATCATCAAAATAAACCGACTAAGATGGGTAGGCCATGTTCTGTAGGTGGATGAAAGTGATCCTTTTAAAATAACCGTGCTAAATAGGCCAGTCGAAAGCAGAAGAGGGCGACCTAACTCATGTATCTAAACGATGTTCAGGACGATTTAAGGAATATTGGAGTAAGAGGATGGAGAAGGCAGAAAGAAGATGAAAGGAAGAATGTTTGAGGCAGTTCAGGGCTCCCGAAGGGCCATAGCGTCAACGGATGATGATGATAATATTATTAATTACTATCACTATTTAATTTATATCATTAATCGCTACATCCTGTTTAATATAAAGAATTATTAAAAAAACTCTACAACCGACTCTTAGAAGATGCTCTGCGGAATGAAAAGGCTTCAACTCCAGGAACTAATACAGAATTGGAAAGGCATACGGTATCTATCAAAAATAAAATAAGCTATGCTTATAAAAATATCCTGTCCAATAAGTATGGTCCAGGAAAGTCGCAAAATCAACTCTTGGTGATGCACTGAATTGGAACACCTTAGGAAGAAAACAAAGACAGCTTTTAATAGAGCAAAACGCACCAAACTCAAAGAGGATTGGGATTTTTACCAATCAAATCTCAGAGAGTTTAAAAAACTCTGCAGACAAAGACAAAGAGCTGCTTGGAAAACCTTCTCTGAGGTTCCCGCAGGCTTCCAGGGTACAAAAAGCGCTCTCAAAGGACTTACATCGGCATATCGGCATATTAACGAAGGAAGATGGAAACAAAACTTCCAACTTTTGCGAAAGTGCTGAGGTCCTGATGAAAAGACACTTTCCCGGTTCTAGTGTCTCAACAGCACCAAACTGGATGGAAGAAGAAATGATACCCTTAATAAACGACTGGCATCTCGCCAGAACAATAATTAATGAGGAAAAGTTAAAATGGGCCATATTGTGCTTCACCTCTTTCAAATCACCAGGGCCTGACGGCATATATCCAGCAATACTACGGTGGGGAATGAATATCCTCCTGCCGCACCTCGTGGAAATATTCAGAGCCTCTTTGGCTAGGAAGTGGAAAGAGGTACGTGTGGTCTTCATACCAAAACCAGGTAGGATGGACTACACCCTACCAAAGGCTTTCCGACCAATTAGCCCAACATCTTTTCTGTTGAAAACGATGGAAAGGCTATGCGAGAGGTACATAAGGGATGAAGTTTTAGTCTATAACCCACTTCACCCAAATCAGCATGCATAAACTTCGGGAAGATCTACCGATTCTGCACTGAATCATGTAGTGGGAAGAATTGAAAGATCGCTGGATAATAAAGAATCCACCCTAGGCATATTCATAGACATTGAGGGAGCGTTTGATAAAACCACATTCCCAACCATTACCCAACAGCTAAACGTCAGGAATTTTCCACTGGCCATAAGCGAATGGATATTCAGTATGCTCTCCAATAGAGCAATAAGCAAAAATGTAGAAGACATTTCTGCCAGAAGCATGGTTACGGGGGGGTGTCCACAGGGAGGGGTACTATCACCACTCTTCTGGAACATAGTTTCTAGATATACTGGTTGACCACCTCAGCAGCAATGGTTTCTACACAATAGCCTACGCAGACGATATTGCTGTCCTGCAAAGCGGTAAGTTTGAGAACACACTATGTGAGAGATTACAAGTTGCTCTCCGACTAATAGAAACATGGTGCAAGGAACACTCACCATCTATAAGTACTAAGAAAACAGAGATGGTCCTCTTTACCAGAAAAAGAAGAATCAAGGGCTTAACACCACCAAGGATCCTAAACTACAGTCTAAATTTTTCTGACGAGGTGAAGTACCTTGGTATTACCCTTGACAGGAAGTTAACATGGAACTCACACTTTGATAGTAGAGCTAAAAGAGCATATATTGCCTATGAGCAGTGCTGACGAACAGTTGGACGCACCGGGGGGCTTTCGCCCAGGGTGATCGTCTGTATCTACACTGCTGCCATTAGGTCAATGCTAACTTACGGAGCTATTGCTTGGGTACCAAAAGTGTTACAAGCAACAGCGATAAACAAACTAAACCATATTCAGCGGATGGCTTGCATAAATATAACAGGTGCCATGAAAACAAAACTAACTGCTGCAATGGAGTTGATCATTGACATCACGCCTCTAGATATATATGTCAAAGAGGTTGCGCTGGTGACAATGATACGACTGCGCTCAGCTGGTGCAAACCTTGATGTAGGAATGGGGAAATTGAGAACTCGTTTCGCAGGCCAGGCTGCGATTTAATTGAACCAAAGTTTGTCTTTAACAAACCCTACAAAATCGAAACAAGATAGTATAGGTTAGGTTAGGTTAGACAAACGTGGCAAAAGACTATTGCATATACACCGATGGCTCCAAAATGAAAGAAGGCTCAGGATGCGGAATATACTCCAGATCACTGAACCTAAGAATAAAGTGGGGCATGGGCAAAAATGCCAGCGTAGTTCAGACAGAACTAGCTGGTATCTCCATAGCCGCAGAAGAGATAACCCAAAAAGGTATAGCAGGAAAAACTATAATGATCTGCACAGATAGCAGAAAAGCGCTACTAACCTTAAATAAACCACGTGTTACATCAGGGTTAGTAATGGATTGTCACATGTCACTAACTCAGGCTTCAGATGGTAATACCATCATCCTGAGGTGGGTTAAGGGACATAATAGGAATAAAGGCAACCGCATTGAAGACCAATTGGCTAGGAAGGCGGCAGCCCTAAGACTCTTAGGACCTGGAGATCTTTTTGGTTGGTCAACTACAACAATCGCGGAAGTTGTCAAATGTCACTCCCATACGCAAACCGTAAAAAGATCGGAAGAAGGGCAAGGATGTAAACTTGCCAGGGTAACACTAAGTAACCTTGAAGAGTCAGCATCAAAGAAGTACTTGGGAATGACCAGGAAAAACCTACGCTTGACAGTTGGTTTTTTAACTGGTCATTGTCAACTAAGCAAACATCTCCACATACTGTGGCCAGCAGACACACCTCTGTGTAGAAAGTGTGAACGAGAAGACGAAACTGTGGAGCATGTCCTATGTGAATGCCCGGAGTTATCGTTAATACGAGAGTACGCGTTCGGCGAGTCCTGCCCCACACCTGCCCACATAAGAGAGATGTCTCCTGGTGACTTGTCCACCTTCCTAGAAATGGCAGGATGGACAATGAGCTAAGGGCGACAGCTCCCCTGGGAGGATGCACAATGGTCAATTGTGGCCTAAGTGCTGTGAAACTTAACTCGCCCTCCCTACTGTACAGGTACAGATACAGATATTAAAAAACTCGAGTAGAAAAATCTAGAAACAGTTTTATTAAGGATCCCTAAGGATATTCAAGAGAAAAACGCCCATCGTTCCATCCATCAGAATGGTGTTTTGCCCGACTGCTCAGCCCTGGGTTTGTTCCCTGTTCATTCTCTCCTCACACCAATCCCAGATAGGTACCTACAGGAAATAAAAAAAACTTACGAAGTTATAGTAAAGGTATATACCGGGTGGTGAATCGTCAAACGGGCCATAGGAAACTCAATGAGAAATTTTAAATTGTTGAATTGCTGCTTCCCTAATTATTTTAGATCAAAAGTCATAAAAAACTATTTGTAGAGGACTAAAATCTGAATTAAAAACAAATGTTAAAACCGTTCTACCAAATCCGTTTTAGAAATTTTAAATTGTTGAATTGCTGCTTCCCTAATTATTTTAGATCAAAAGTCATAAAAAACTATTTGTAGAGGACTAAAATCTGAATCAAAAACAAGTGTTAAAACCGTTCTACGACTCAAATGTACTTAAAAATTTTGCAAAAATATAATACATTTTTCAGGCCACCCCTAAAAGTTAGGCCACACGTAATGCAAGAATGTATATTAGGACGTGTGTGTTTTATCATATTGATGTCAGATGTTTGACAATTTGAATTGTCAATTTTTTTATTTTATGATTAAATTATAAACAATGAATTTTACTAAATACTACTACTAATGAACATTATTACTTTATGAACAATAAATTATATTGTTTACAAATCGATCAAAATAATAAAATGTACTCAGTTGACGAAAAATCGCATAATGTTGTATTCAGTCAATAGCGCGAACCTTTTCCTGCCACTACCGGATCTTTATTTAACGTAAGATATTCTAAATCACTAAAATTTAATTCCATGTTAAGTTAGGTTATACAACAATTTAATGAATTCCAATATACTGTTACTACGATCTTTATTCCTAATAATAATATATGATAATTTCTAAACATAAAACTATAACAAATGTTATAATAAAACATGAATAAAACATTTTTATTATTGCTTTTCAGCATTAATAAAAATGAATTTCTCATCAACTGAATGCAGTTTTTAATCAACTTAATTTTTTTTTTAACAATAAATCACAAAATTTTGGCCATTTAAATCATAGATAAATGATTTCAATTTTTTTTCATCGGTTAATGCCTCGACAACTATGATCATTGGCATGGTACAGTCAGGTACCTAGTGTAGTGTGTGTGTGTGTGTGTAGAGTAATTGTCTTGATACTTAGCAAAGTCGACGTCATAATCTGTGCTAAGAGACGCTAATTGTATCCGAACGTCTGCGGTCCCTCTGGTGAGTACTGATCGCAAAAGGATAGAAATTATTTTCATTTATTAATTTTTAATAAACGAAAATTTCCACCGAGAGAAGATTCGAACTCACGACCTTTAGATTTAAATGTAGGCGCTCTTACCACTGAGCCACAAAGGGGGTTAATAATTGATTTAAATATTGTCAAATATCAGAAACAATAATATGACAAGACGCAACACGTAATACACATTTTTTCACATTATATACATATTTATACACATTATACATAAATGTATTATACTTTAGCAAAATTTTGGAATACGTTTAAGTCGTAGAATAATTTTAAACAGTTGTTTCCATACATATTTGAGTCCTCTACAAATAGTTTCCCATGACTTTTGGTGTAAAATAATTAGGGAAGCAGGAATTCAACAATTTAGAATTTCCCATTAAGTTTCCTATGGCCCGTTTGACGATTCACCACCCTGTATATTTATTAAATGATAAACAGAATTCATATTATTATGAATGTGAATCAAAAATAAATTTTTAAACTGAGACTCAAAGATTCTGCCGGTTGCCGGTATAAAAATTAAATAATAAAAAAGTACTCAGCTTTAGTTTGTTTTAAAGGAGTCGTTCAGTTCTCGAGGAAGGGTTCCGATCTTTGTGACAGTTAGCCGCTATCGATGGTTGTTGGGTGGGTTAAGGGGGTTGTTGGTCTAGATTATAGCAATCATTTTTGTCCCCAGGTTGATAAATGGGTCCCAAATTACATTCTGATGAATCAGTGGATTTAAGGTAGTATGGGTGGTTGCTGATTATTTCCCTAAGGCAGTGTGGTTGGCTCTTGTTTGATTCCTAAGATAGTGGGTTGGCTATTACTTGCTCCCCACGACACTAACCAATTTGTGTGACTTAAGTTTCATTGTAGAATGATTGTAGTGATGTGATTGAAGGGAGGGCGAATAAAAAATTGTATCGGCTTATATAGGATGGAACGGCTACTAAAAATATTTATAATTTAGTGAGGTCGCTTTGGAATAATATAGTACTGCGGACAAGTACCAAGCGAAGCTTGGTGTCACGTTCAATTGGTTGATTAAAACGTTACAATTCATTCAATACAATTTCCACATAGTTACTTAATAATATTTTAATTAGAAAATTCGTATCAAACCATTCAACTTTGCTTTTTTTTTAAATACATCCAATTAATTTAGCTAATAACCCCAGTTGCCTTTAATCGACTTGTGTCCATTATTTGCTGTTCTATTGGTCTGTATATATGGGTACTTATGCATTATAAGAGACTTCTCTAGACTTTTATATTTAGTAAAATAATTCATTTTAGTTCCATGGGCGCCATATTGGGAACACATTAAGGAAGGTTGGAATAGAAGACACGAAGAAAATATGCTGTTTCTCTTCTATGAAGACTTGAAAAAGGTATAATAATATTATAAAATACTCTAATAATTAATATTGTTCTGAAGCTATTTTCTTGTGGCAACTTAAAGTAACTTTTATTTTAATAAGAATAAGCCACAATTAAAGTTTAAAATAAGTTGACGTTTAAATTTCCACTTCGGACTTCCACTTTCACGATAGCAGAACGACATGAAACTGGATCATCAGACATAATTCATCATCAACAGTGATATAACAGCTCGTTATGAGCCAAAGCCTTCTTCGGAACAACCTGCAATTCGCTTCTGTCTTTGGAAACTTTTATTTATGCTTAAACTCCGATGGATTTTAGATCATCCTCTATGTTATCTTGATACCTAAGTTTTGATCTTTCTCTGGCTTCCTGATAAATAATATCCTTAATCCAACTACTTGTTAATAAGAAAGATCTCGGGCACAACCTTAACGTTCAAAAGTGAAGTGGACACTAAAATAGAATATAAATAGATATTCAGTTCTTGTCTAATGCCATTTTTGCCTGTGTATCAAGTCTTATAATACCTTTCAATCTTATCAAAAGTCTCATTTAGCTACCTTGGAATACAGAGTGATCTCTTTACATAATTACTTAGCTTTAATGTCAATATAATAGAGTAGGTGTAGTATTGTCTAATAAAAATTTATCATCCTATGAATTTTTTGTTTGGTACGTCAATCTTCTATTGTTTTTAAATCTTTTATTGTTATAAACAATACCGCCATTGTTTTTTGTCCATCCATTCGTCTTCTTTAATGGCTCTATCTCTCATTATGCGTCGTACATTTCCTTCCCAGGCAACTGAAGGCCTTCCCCTTCTTCTTCTTTATTGTGGTATGTAATTTAAAGCTTTCTTTGGCTATCTATTTTTATTCATTCGCTTCACGTGACCATACTACACTAGTTGCATTGTTTCAATTCTGTCTACAATGGAATATACAGTATTTGTCCTCCTTCTAATATCTTCATTCCTGATATGATCTTTTTTGGATACACCACACGCTCTCCTTAGAAAATCCATTTCTACTACTTCTATTCTTTTTCTATCTTTTTTCGTGATCCGCCAAGCTTCTGCCCCATAAGTCATAATAGGCTCTACCAAGAATCGATAGATTGTCAATTTCGTTTCTTATTTAACATCTTTAGACCAGAGTAGAGAGTTTAGAATGTTAACCGCTTTTTTCCCTGCTGCGTTCTGTTTTCGATATCTCTTTTGGTAGTGCCTTCTTTAGATATTATAGATCCGAAATATTTATATTCCTTGCATGTTTTTGTGTTTCTAATTTCTAACTCTGGATCTTCTTCATCATCTCATATTTTAAGATACTCTGTCTTTGACATATTCATATTGAGGCCCCATTTTTCATATTCTTTCTTTAGTTTTCTAAACATGTAGTCCATGTCTTCCTCATTCATTCGCTACGAGTACCTGATCATCTGCGAAAAATAAAGTTGTTAGACATTTACCATCGCCTATGTCTATTTCCATTCCGGATACTTGTTTCCTTCACTGCTCTAGCGATGATTAAATAAATATTTTAAATAAGGTCGGAGATAGACACCATCCTTGTTTAAGCCCCTTTGTTATTGGAAATGATTCAGATGTAAAGTTTCCTTCTTTAACGACACTTTTTGCATTTTTGTATATATTTGCTATAGAATCCACATACTCTCTACTGAGACCTACTTTCTTCAATGTTTGAAACAGTTTTTTCAAAGGTACCGTATCGTATGCCTTCTCTAAATTTACAAATAATAGGTGGGTAGATAGATTCCTTGCCTTCCGTTTTCGATTACCTGCTGCAGAACGAATATACCATCAGTGCACGATCTTCCTGCATGAAATCATTTTGTTCTTCTATGTCTTCGTATTCTGATTCTATTCTTTTTTTTATTATTCGACCGTACAACCTCCTTACTGAGCTGATTGCAGTTATTCCCTATAATTAGATCATTTGCGTTTATCCCCTCTCTTCAATATTGAGCTGATGTATCCAATATTCCAATCATCAGGGATATTTTGTTCTTTTAAGCATTTGTTAAATAGTTGAACCAACATCTCATGTAATACTTTTGGTCCATACTTTACCAACGCAATTGGAATGTCTCCAGGTCCTGCTGCTTTTCCGTTTTTTGATCTTTTGAGGGCATCGTTTAACTCTTCGGTTGTTATCTCAATTATTTGTGTGTGTTCGGATATTTCTTCCATTTCGATCTCTTGGAAATTACATCTATCCTCTGTCAGTAAGACATTATAATGGTGTTTCCACTGTTTCAAATCTATTAACTGTAAGTTAGATTTTTCCTTTCCTTCCCTCCGCAGAGACTTTATCACCTTTCAAGCTTGTCCAACTCTTGTTCCACCCATATACCTATCCACTTCTGCACATCTTTGATCCCACATCTCATTTTTACTTTTTACTACTTCTCTTTTTACATCTCGATCTCATTTTGATATATCTTGTAATCTTCATCCTTTCTCGTTGACATCCATTTCTGATAAGCAGTTTTCTTCTTGTTGACTAACGTTTGCATATTCTCCGACGACCATTCTTGATTTTTTGTTTGATGTTTGTCTTTATAACCCAAAGCTTCAATTGCAGCCTCATGAATGCATTTTTTAAGTTGCTGATATAATTTTTCCGCTGATATATTTTCTCGATCCACATTTTGTAATTTTGTGGCCGGTCGTAATTTGTAAAGAAATTTCGTTGAATCTTTTTTTAAGCTTTCTAGGTTATATTTAGGAGATATTACTTCTTGTTCCTTTTCTATATTCTGAACCTGAGTATTATTGTTTTTGTGATAGTTAACTATCACGTTGGCCATAAGTAAACAATGGTCGGATCCACATTCTGATCCACGGTATACCCTTATGTCAGTTGTTTTCAGTTGGGAAGTTTGACGTTGGACTACATAGTCGATTATCGAGCACAGATTCCTAGTAGGTTGTATCCATGTAAATTTGTGTATGTCTCTATGTTGAAAAAATTCATTCATAATTTTGAGAGACATTGTTTCACAAAAATCTCTAAGATGCATTCCGTTGTCATTGGTTATTTGTTCCCCATATCTTTCCACGACACTGTTAATTTCTTCTCTCCCTAATCTGCCGTTTAAATCTCCTAATATGAAGATTTCACAGTTGTCTTTAATTTCAGATAGTATTTCATTCATATTGTTGTAGAAATCGTCTTTAGTATCTGAATCTGCATCTTCTTTTGGGGCATACACTCCGACAATTACGATGTTGTGCCAATTCTTTTTCATTTCCAGTATCAGCAGTTGTTCATTTACTTCAGTCTACGATTTAATATTGTTTTTAAAATTTTTTCGAATAGCAATAGAGACTGCTCTCTTAGCTCTGTTATCTTTACTGACTTCACTGTGAATATGTATACATTATTATTCTCCTTTCTCTTCATTTCCTTTTCCCTTTTTCTTTGTCTCGGTGAGAATACATACATCTATTTTTCTTTCCGCTAATTCTTTAAATACTTCTACTTGTTTGGATCTAACACCTTGTACATTCCATGTAGCCAATATCATTTTCCTTTTCCGTTGCATTAGTCGTCTTTGTTTTGATCCATCCTTTGTATTCCGAGGCCTTTGGTTGCTAGCCCATCGCCTCAACCCTCCTCCTTAATCCGGGCTTGGGACCAGCACCGGCATTTACTGAGCTACTCATTCCACCCAGCACTTACCGGAGACGAAGCTACCTATCAATTGATTATCGTCAAAAATTATCAAATCTTTAATTAAGTACGTTTAATAATTTTTTAGGACGAAACATTTAAGAAATTTTATCTTTTCAGAATTTACGACCTAGTTTAAAGAAACTATCTTCATTTTTGGAACAGAGTTATTCAGAAGAGGAGTACGAGATACTGGAAGAACATTTAAGCATAGATAATTTCAGAAATAACAAATCAGTAAACGCCGAGGATAACAAAGACATAGGAGTGGTTAGCAACGCTGAAGCAAGCTTCATAAGAAAAGGTGTTGTTGGAGGATGGAGTTCATATTTTGATGATGAACTGAATGCCGAAGCTGATAGGTGGATAGAAGAGAATTTGAGTACTTTTGATTTAAGGTTTCCTAGTTAATGAAATAAACAAATGTTAAGGACCAAATGTTTCATGTATAAGAATAGGTGGAATTTTATTAATAGTACCTGTTTTCGAAACTCTAGTATCGAAATTCCTGGAATTTCGTAATCTTATAAGAAAAACAGTTTAAAATTTGAACAATAAAAGCATCAACAAATTCTACTGCCATATTGAAACGGGAATGTAAAGACAGAGCTAAATCTTTCCTGGCACAATATGCTTCTATGATGTAGACTGTGCACGTCATTGACTTGTTCAAATCCTTTTTATCGTTTATCCTAAAAAGAATGTAATGTGACTTTTTTAGGAGACCTCTAATAGTTTTTTTGACTATTACCCATAAAAATACCCATCACTGATCCTTGACCTAAATACTTGAAATTATTGTTTTAAGTTCCTGTATGTATCGTTTTTGTGTAACCATGACATAAAAAGTAAAAAAGTATGTTCATTTAGTCTCCACTTGGTTTGGAACTTTATGATAGCACAGGTTTTAAGCAGAAGAATAACATTATTTTTACAAAGGACTCTTCAAATGAAATAAATTTTAAATATCGACGTCTTATATTGGTTTTAATTCGGTTAATACAAGCGATCATTCAAATTCTAGTAAATCATACACTACCAATAATTGTCAATTTCTCACGTGTAAAGCTGGTTCCTAAACAAACTGATACGACTGAAGATTTGATCATTTTGACCAGTGTATTTGATTGGTCTGACATTATATTTATGACAGACAAATAATAAAATAAACAAACAAAAAACAAACATTAATTGATTACTTATATTTATTCATAAATTGTAATAATTATTAAGGTCTAAATTTTGATATTATTTTTAATTCCTGCATTTTATGAAGAGTATATAAATGATGGTTTTTACATAAAATAGTGTTGTTGTTATTGTTTTTATTACAAAGACTGCTGAAAACAACAGAAATGAAAGTCTTACGAAAAATAACAAACCAAACTCTAAGAGACAGAGTAAGAAATGAGGAAATACGAGCGAGATGTGGTATAGAGGAAATAAACGCGTGGACCAAAAGAAGAAAAGTGGAATGGAATCAACACATCGAAAGAATGACAAAAAATAGAATAGTACGAATAGCAAGAGTCAAATCGTCAAATGGAAGAAGATCATTGGGAAGATCATTAAGCTTATTTATAAAGTAGGAAGAAGAAGAAGAATAAGATATTTTTAAAAATAAAGTTAATATCAGAATAATTTTACAGAATTAAAAGTTGTTTTCTTCAAGAAAGTATTATTAGAGCTAATTTCATAGTAAAGTAAATAGATTTGGTTCAAAAGGAGATAAACAATTGAAAATTTCTTTTTTATTGGTGCGTTACGATAAAAATTAGAAAGAATATTCGATTTTTTTTTGTATAATGAATATATTTATGGTATTTTATGTTTTATAATATTTGTGTTTTCTGATATTTATTTTCCTTGTTTATCTTGGATAAAGCACGCAACTAGAAAATGCTAGAAGCCACGAAATAAAGGTAATTAATATGAAAAATTAGCCCTGAAAAATTAATCTATAGAATAATTTTATTTATTTATAATAATGAGGCAACAACAGTAGGAAGAAGGTCAAAGGAAAGACCCAAACTTAGATACATGGAACAGGTTGAACAAGATCTGAAAACACTTAAGATTACCAACTGGAAAAACAAAGCAAGGAACAGAACAGAGTGGCGGAAAATCTTAGAACAAGCCAGTACCCAGAAAGGGCTGTCGAGCTACTGATGATGATGATAATAATTTTATTTGTTTTTTTATTATGTTTTATATATATGTATATATTATATATATATATATATATATATATATATATATATATATTATTTTAAAATCTACAAAAAGTTAGTGTGGTGTATTTACCTGGAACTCAAAATAATAACAAGGAGAACAACAGTAAAAGCAAAAAAAGAAATGTGGGATAAGAAGTGCCAGGAAATTAATACCTACCTGGGAGACAGAAAATGTACAGAAACATGTAAGTTCCTCAGTAAAATAAGAACTAACGAAAGGAAGAGCACAAACATTCAATTAATATCCACACAAAAATGGGAAAAGTACTATGGGGAACTACTGACAGAAAATAGGACGAGTACTTCACTCAATCACCAACAGAGGTTAATATTAAAGGAGAAGATATAACATTATAAGTGACAGAAATTAGAAAAGCTATTAAATAACTGAAAATGGTAGGTCTCCAGGACCAGAGAATATCCCAGCCGAACTAATAAAATGTGGATTACAAAAATTGTTTGAAACCATTACATGGTACATAAATCAATTTATAAATGGTTCTCCCGTACCCGAGGAGTGGAAAATTGCTTATATTTTGTCGATCCAAAAGAAAGAAGATGAGCTTAAATGTGAAAACTATAGAGGGATATCAGTCACTAGTACATTCAGCCGTTTATATGGACAAATAATTAGAGACCGGATTGAGAAGAAATACAAAGGCCAAGAGGAAGAAGAACAATCCGGTTTTCGAACAGGAAGAAGCTGTACTGATAATATCTTCTGCCTCAAACAACTAATAGAAAAAAATTAAGCACAAATCAAGAAACCCACCTCATGTTTATTGACTTGCAGAAGTCGTACGATACAGTTCCTGTAAACAAACTCTGGAACGTGTTACAACAGACGAATATTAGTGTCACCTTAATAAAAGCCTTAAGAAATTTGTATGAAGGGTCAACATCACAAATAAAAACTGGAAACAGACTATCGCAAAGCTTCGGTTAGTAAAGGTATACGTCAGAGGTGTGTATTACCGACCTTGTTTAAAATATATGTTGCAAAAGCACTAAAAGAGTGGAAACGAAAATGTAGAGGCATGGGCGTAGAACTTGGAGAGATTTGCTTGTATACATTGCAGTTTGCTGATGACCAGGTTGTTATAGCAAACGATAAAGATGATCTGGAGTACATGGCAAGGAAATTACAAGAAGAATATAGAAAGTGGGGACTAGACATTAATACAGAAAAAATAAAATACCTGCCAATAGGTACCGAACTAGCGAGCATCACATTAGAAAATATCAAAATCATCATGCCCTGCGACCATTACACATACCTAGGTATCATTTTTGACACAACGGGGAAAGATAATAAAGAAATAAAGAGAAGAATAACACAATCCAGAAAAACAATAAGTTGTCTAAACAGCGTACTGTGGAGTCATGAAATAGGAAAAAGAAAAAAACACAATATCTACGAATCCATATATATATATATATATATATATATATATATATATATATATATATATATATATATATATAATATATATATATATATATATATATATGGATTCATTCATACTCTATGATTCATATTCTATGTATAATATGTTGCATACCATTAAGACAGGTTTAAAAAGTATAGTCACCTAAGAAGGGCCTCTAGTATTTCTTGAAAAGAAAGATATCATCAATTACACCTAATTACATATTAATTACAGTGTTTTTACTTTCCATTCTCTGTATTAGTTAATATACACCAGTAAAACATGCCATCAACTAAGTTTTACTATTTTTACAATAAATTTTAAAAATTTTATAATGTATTCTGTCCATAATTGTATATTTTAATGTGTGTTATAAATGTTGAGTGTCAATGCTTATATAAATAATCTCAACGACTAGTAAGTTACACTGAAGAATTGTGATATTTTTTAAATATTTACATATTTGTCTTATTACAGTGTCTTGAAAAAGGAATAAAACCATTCCGAAAGCTCGACAATAAGTCAAAACAGTGTTTTTTTTAACATCCCGGCCAATATTCTGACTTCAACTATAATAAACTGTGTTGATTATATATATATATATATATATATATATATATATATATTATATATATATATATAAAACCTAGAGCTAAGATTAATATTATTACTAAAATTAATATCAAACTCACCAGTCTTCCGGGTTGAACCGCGTCGATATTAATTTTGCCGAGCTTTCGGCATCCTCTCTGATGCCTTCCTCAGGGCTTCCGAGGTCTCAGTTTCCCGAGCCCCCAGACACTACTACACTGTTCACTGATCACTATGGTATTACTACTGATGTAGTGATAGCGTAGTGATAGCGTAGTGATCAGTAGTGATAGCGTAGTGATCAGTGAACAGTGTAGTAGTGTCTGGGGGCTCGGGAGACTGAGACCTCGGAAGCCCTGAGGAAGGCATCAAAGAGGACACCGAAAGCTCGGCAAAATGGATATCGACGCGGTTCAACCCGGAAGACTGGTGAGTTTGTTATTAATTTTAGTAATAATATTAATCTTAGCTCTAGGTTTTATTGTACTAACCGCGGAAATCTTTCCGAACATATATATATATATATATATATATATATATATATATATATATATATATATATATGATTTCAGTTGTTTTCCGGGTTTGACTCCGCGTTAAGTAATTTTGGTTTTTAGAAAAACCATTGTTTTGACGACGTTTCGGCAAATATTTTGAAATTCTTTATGAGTGATTTATGATATTACTTTAAGGATTATTAACTGATTATCAGTTTTAATAATATTCCCTGTATGGGATATTCGATCATTTACCGGTTTTTAGCTTTTAAAGGTTCGTGCATAAGTTTTTTACGAATTGATATATCTGGGTTTAAAATTACATAGATTGATAGCGTGCTGTTCGAAGTAAATTACTCGAACGTGTGAGGACAGAATCCCGTGTGAGGACTGCGATAAATCGTACATCGGACAGACAAATCGAAGGATACAAGTTAGACGCGAAGAACATCGAAACGCCATCGAAAGAAAACAGAAAACTTCATCTCTAGCACAACATGCCATCAACACAGGACACAAAATCGACTTAAATGGAACAACAATGCTAGCCAATATCGAAAATAAGGCCAAACGTGTAATCAGGGAAGCCATAGAGATCGAAAAACATCCAAAAAATTTAAATACCAGAGACGAAGCCCAAAGACTCCCAAATACGTGGAAACATATTCTACAGAAAAACG